TGTCTATTTGTGTATCAGTTATCAAGGAATATACAAACAACGTGTACTGTAGTCTCTGATAGAAATGTAAACAAATCTAGTGCTGCACTGCAGACTAAGCCAAGGTTATAATGCGAGGAAAGTTATTTCAGTGGTGTGCGCATTTTTTGCACTGCAGTGTACTGTCTTTGGGCGGAAAAGTAAACACAAGACGGATGTCACAGCCTGACATGGAATCAATTTTTACAAAAAATCTTTGAAATATTCTTGCCATAGGAAATTATTATGTGAATTTTCAAAATTATCAAAATTAAATGCTTTTTATCTTCCTTGGATACTAGACGAACACTGATGCATCTATTCTTGTTTACAAATTCCGCCCAGAGAGAACTGGTTTCAATATGTACGCAGAGTATACGCGACTGCAATTAACTTTCCTTGTATTAGTACCTTGGACTAAGCTTTTTTTTATCCTTTCAGCAACCTCATTACACTTTGATAGTAAACAAATCTATGGAAATATTCCTTAGCATCGATGCTGTGATATTTGTACTACAATTCTATCAGAGTTTTCGCTTGGTCGAACACATTCTGTAAGTGTATTTTATTGCTCAATTAGAAGATACAAGATTGGATAATAATCAAATCAAGAAAACAAACTTATAAATTACAGACATTTATTCAGATTCTTGCAGAATAAATAGTTTATATTCTACTTTCCGTCTACTACGCTTTGTTTAATTAGAAATTAGATATTCAGAAAGGTATTGATTCTTTTGCCACATACATTTTAGAATCCCGCTATCTTTGCAACCTGATAATTTGATCTAACAGAGTTTATTGTTTAAAATATCGACGACATTGGATTTTAAAGATATAGGGATTTGGGTTTATGGCAAAGATGTCATTCCTTTAAAGCAATTAAATTCTCACACAGATAAGATCACACAAAAGAAAACTAGCATATGCAAATATTTTCGGTTGATATCTTATGTGTTTTACATTGAAATTATTTTGGGTTTAGTTCGTAAATAAGATGGATTACAATTTATAAATTGAGTATTTGCGGTTCACATCTCATATTCTACTGTTTCACTTGAAATATCGTAAACATTCCCTTTAATGTAGGTTTACCTGATAAGTATCAACGGAGTAACAATTGCCATACATGACAGTATCCCGCACCCAACTATCTCGGCATCCGTCTCAGTGGGAACAGATTTATAATTCATCTCGAAATCTATAGTTCCAAACCACACCTGGAGAAATTTCTTTTCTCCGGGTTCTAATAAAAATATAATCTTGGTTCTAGGTTGCGGAGATCCTGAGGTTCCTGCCGGATCCGTGGTTCGTCCATCCTCTCCCCTAGAGCAGGAAGTATCCTGCAGGGAGGGGTTCAGGTTTTCTCTCCATAGCATGGAAGGACCTGGAGCTAAAATAACCTGCAACAAGGGAACCTGGAATACAACTGGTTTAAACTGTGAAGGTAGGAAGAATTTCTTTTCATCATCTTATTCTTAAAGAAGCTTTAAAGGAATTATTTGAGTCTTTGCCACAAACTCAAATGTTCTTATTCCCATATCATTTGCAATATTTCAAACTTAGATCATTTGATCTAACAGAATTTATAGTTTGAACTATCTAATGTCTATGACATTGGGTTTTAAAGATATAGTTATTATTTGTGGCAAAGACTAAAACCCTATTTTAAAAAGATTAATCCAAATAGTTTTATATTGAGTACTCATACTACAAACCTTTAAAATACAAAATATATTTTCAAATGGTTTAAGGGCATGTATTGCATATTATTCTTTTCATAAAGATGAATGATAAAAAAGTTTTGTTTCCACTTTATGATCGTATTCATGTTCTGTATAATTCATAACTTTTTGTTCTTTTTTAAAACAAAATATTTATATTTTCCGTTTCTTGTTAAATGTTTACAATTGTGTTACATAATTGGTTTTACATGAAGAACATTTAAAATGAGTTACTGTTGTTATAACAGATTAGATTACAGAAATTAAGTATTGTATTAAGTACTGTGTATTTGAAATCAGGATAATAAAACATAACATTACGAAAATAATTAAAGAATTAAAGATAGATTCTAAGTGATTACTTCGAATCTCATTTTAATATCAAGCGTATTTCTAGATAAAAAACTGTAGAATTCGTTCTGTATAACATATAAAAGATGTACTTATACTAGAATTTTTTGGTGAAAAAGGTTAAAAAAATGGAAAATGAGCAACAAGTGGGGAAACATTTTTCATATTTGGGTTTATTTTACATAAAACCAAGACAAATGATGTCCAAATGCAAAATTTCGTTAAGATTGATTTAAAAAAATGAAGACAGGAACCCCTCCACATGTATTCAAATTGGTCAAACTGACTGTCCCCCATGATAAAATAATCTTTTAAAAAATAATAAAATTTCTGTTTTCATTGTTTCATCGAATACATGTATTGTATAATTCATAACTTTTTTTTCGTGTGGGGGGATTGTAAACGTAGATTAATAACAATACAGATAGAACACTAACTGTCGTCTTTTCAAGATTTGAGTTTTTCGTTCACAATTATTCTGAGGCAGAAGCCCAAAGGATTTAGAACAGTCTCTCTCTGTCTTTTAATTCAACGCAGTATGCGCGTAACTCATTTGGGCTTCTGCCTCTGGGTTATTGTTATCGAAATCTTGAAAAGACGACATCTAGTGTTCTTTATGTATTGTTATTAATCTTTGACTTTGAATCTCATTTATATTTATTAGGAGTATTTTTAGATGAAAATGTAGAATTATTAGTGTATTGCTCATATTTACGCATTTACTCTCATTCAGACCGTTTATTTTTTACTGAGAAATATATTGCTTATTGTTCAAATATATTTCCCCCGAAACCTTTCAAAAGAAAAAGTATAAAAACTACAAAATGCAAAGTATTTATCTTTAAACATGGATAATAGTTTCAAAACAACATGAATTTAAACATGGATAATAGTTTCCAAACATCATGAATTTAAACATGGATAACAGTTTCCAAACAACATGAATTTAAACATGGATAACAGTTTCAAAACAACATGAATTTAACCATGGATAATAGTTTCCAAACGACATGAGTTTAAACATATGTAGTAACGCATACGTTAACTCTCTGATATATTGGCTAACATTTTTAAGGGAATCCCGGGGTAAAATTTCAAATTCTATTTTTTAATTCAACAGGCAACGCCAGGCACTTCAATAAACACTGGATTCTGAACATTGAACACTGGATACTTAACTGAGTANAGGAAATCAATAAATCAGAGGTGTCCTCCTAGGAAACTATTAAATCAGAGGTGACCTTTTATGAAGCAATAAATCAGAGGCTTCTAGAAAACCAATAGAGATCCATTATTGTAAATTAACTATATTGCTTTCTGCTTGCAGCAAGGACGGACCTCTCATAGCAGCTCCCGGGTTCACAGTTCGGAAGAGCGCTGCATACAGAGTTGCTCATGACTTATCCTACAGGGGAGTAGCATAATTTAAATAAAAGGCAAGAAATTGGAAAGACTTTAAAACAAAGGAGAGCAGGGATCTTCTATTGAAATCCCTCATACCCTTCCGCCTCCAAACTTCCTTATCTCTTTCCTACATGCTCCACAACTCAATGTCACAAGAACTACTTGGAGAAGCCTCAAAAACAAAGAAACAAGAACCAAGAAGAAAAAAGAAAATTAAACAGGAAAAGAAGAAGGGAACTCTTCAATGATAAGCTTTACACTATCAACCTTTACCCGTTAGCAAATGGAGACACCATTGGAGAACCCCCTTTTCAATTATCAAAAAACATGGGGCTGGGAGATGTCCCCCCCCTTCCACTTTTCTGAATAGAGAATACACCAGGAATATGTGTTTGAATGTTGACTCAGTTTGAATTTAGTCGCTGACTCATCTAATGTGTGTAAACAAAACAGAGTGCAGAAAAATATGAAAGCAGGCCCCTAGTTCTAAAGTTAGCAGCTTGGTAACTGCTAGGATGTCCAAAAAAATCCTAAAGTTATTGATAATGTTTCTGGAAAAATGTGATGATTTTTAATTTAACTTCCAGCTGATACAGATATAAAGCAGTTTTTAACGTAACACTTATGTAGTAAGGAGCTTTTGGAGTAATTGGTGCGGGCAGTGAAGTACAGTGATAACCAGAAAACTGTGAAATAGGAAGACAACTTCAAGTTAAAACTTTAAGAAGTTCAATGAGCATGAGACAAAACAATTATGTGTGTGAACAGACCGATTTCACTGAATAAGTGATTTAATAAGCACCTAGTAAAACTATTTGCCTTGTTAAAGCATCAAATAAACTTAAGTATTGCTAAGTCTTATTAAGTATTATTAAGTCTTCCTCTTCCATTGTTTTCTCGTTATCGCTGTATATTATGTGCACCAAGGACCCCCCCCCCCCCTGTAAAAACACAGGGTATAATACTCTTTTAAATACTACATTAACATGTACAGTCCGTATATGTACAAAGTACAACCTGTATATTCACTTATATTTTTTTTGTAAATTGAGGAAAAGATTTGAAAAGAGGACAACCTCCCTCTTATTCATTAAAGAATTGGAAAATTCTTTCATTGATTCCTCCTGGATAAAAGATCTGAAATATTTTATATTTTATTTCTAGTGACATGTTCCCCATAATTACAAATGGAGTGTCAAAAACGTTGAAGGAATTAGTGTCGGAGGAGACTTTATTTAAAAGGATTCAAACATTTTCAAAACTCTGAAATAATGATGTCTTTTAAAAAGTTTGATCTTGCAGTAACACCGCCATAATATATATATAAATATATAGTCCAAATCTGCATTTGGAGAGGTTGAGGATTAGTCCAAAATCCTGCAGTCTAGAGAGAACTGTATGAACATGACGGCGGTGAGAAATTTCATCTGGACTGGCTATTAAGATATCATCCAGGTAGATA